TCCTCCACTGATGGTGAGCCGCTGGCAGGGTGATGCTTACTGGGTAACTGGTTATCCGTTAACATTCCTACTCCTGACCAAAGGTACAAATGTGGCATGGAATCACAGCATAGTGGTGAAATACGCTCTCTCTGTTTTCAACAGACAAATGGAGAACTGCTCCGTAACTAGGACCCCAAGGTGTTACAGTCCATAATAAAATTAATAACTAATAATGATAGTATTTATTATTATCACACAGTGCTTTGAGTTCCTAAACAGAGATCAGAATCCCATTGGACAAAGCTCTGTATGAACAAATAACCTGCTTGGTAAAGCTCAGTCTCTTACTAATTAGACTTCCGATTAAAAATGAAAGTTAAGAATCCAATTGACATGTAGAATGTAAACAAAGAGCATAAACAGTGGCATTCCCTTAGTTGAAATGATGAAAAATTAACCACTTTTGACGTTTTCACTTTCGTTTATAGCCACTTTCATTTTGAGGCTCTTAATGTTGCAAAGTTTGGAGCATTCAAGAGAATGTTTAAAACTTTAATTTTAAGGTTGACAGGGTCCTTTTCACTAAGGCAGGGCTACTCAACTTTGGAAGCCCCAAGGGCCACAATGATACTCATAGGACATGCAAGGGCCACAACTTAAGTGTCGTTGCGTATACACATAAATATATGCAAATAGCTTCTTTCACACTGACGGGCATGGATACAAAGATTAAGGCAAGACTATACAACACGCAGGCCTCATTTAAGTCAGTTCTGCTGATATTAATAAAATGCAATATTTATCCAATTTCCACCCATATGACAGCACTTTTAATGAGCAATGACAGTCCAGGAATTTAACTGCTAAACTGCATATCAACAGAAGACCATTCTATTGACTTTTGTTTTGGCTTCACAATTTTTAACAAATCAAACAAAAACTGCTAATACAGTCCTGGAATTTGCTGGAGTATAAGTACAATCAATGCGAAGATTGTGGGTTTCTTGGACTGATTTTACTGTAAAAAGAAAAGTTTCCAAGGCAGAGTGCTCCAACCTGCTGCAGGTGGGGAGTTGGGTGAGTCAGGCCGGACATGAGAGGAAAAAAAGCACAGGTGCCCGGGCACCCTGTCCTGGATTCCCAGCAGGGCTGACATCTCTATGTGGAAGTCCGTCACTCCGTGCAGGATGGAGGCAGGGCTGCCTGGCTGCAGTGCCAGACCCAAATGTGGCCAGTGTGAGCCAGTCAGCATCTGAGGCTCTTCCCACAAGACTAAGCAGCCAGCACTTCCCACAATGCCTGGTGCTCCCAGCACTTCCTCCCAGGGGGCTAGAACGCTGACACCTTGTACTTGTCTGTTCCAGCCAACCCATCCGCTTGTATCTTTCAGTGCTCACCCCGCCTGGGAGACGCCTCGCCGTTGTGGAGCGTGTTCCCAGTGGAGGCCACGTTCCAAGAATCCCACATGTGGGCTGCGTGTTGAGCCCCGTGTAAGCCCAAAGAGCACCATGGGCCGCAAACAACACGGCCCACGTGCCGCATGTTGTGTGGCCGAGCACTAAGGCAAGGGTGGGGAACCTAAGGCCTGGGGGCCAGATAGGGCCCCCAGCTTGCCTGGATCCAGACCCTGAGGCTAGTAGATTTTGTGTGCTCCAGCCCCATGGGGGGGAATGACAGGGGAGGCCACACTGGCACTCCAGCCCCGCCCCCCTGTCATCCCTGCCATAGGGCTGGAGCACACAGAATCTACTAGCCTGGGCCTCCAAGGCTCTGGTGTGCAAGGGAAATGTGGGGAGTGTCTTTCTGCTTCTCAGTCGGAGAAGGATTTTTTGGGTTGGTGTGGGGTTTTTTTGCTTCTTACTAGTGTAAGATTTTTCTGATTTTTCTGCACTAAAGCCTTGCCTAAACTACAGTGGCACAGCTACAGTGCTGTAGCATGGGTGCTTCCTACATGGACGGAAGCAGGTTTTCCCCTTGATGTAACAGGTAATTTGCCTCTCTGAAAGGTAGTAGCTTGATCAGTATAAGAATTCTTCCAGGAGCTGACAGATGCATTTAAGAAGACTATCCTAAAACAGTGCTTCTGACTGAAGTCCTGTTCCAGGTCTGCATTTCCTCAAAGCCAAGGGGTGTTTGAATTGGCCTGTTACAGCTATGAGGTCAGCCACATGGTTTGGAAACAGTGTCAAAAGTCCAATCCCATCTCCTAATCATTTGGAAAGAGTATCCTTTCCAGACATCCTTTTCAACTGAACCATTTCCACTTTGGGTTCTGCAAATACAGCCACAAATGTTGAGTATTCAGGAAAGGGAAATGGACCAGCAAGCTCTGCAATCTGCATTCAGAAGGGTCCTCCCAACATAAAACGTCTCATAACCTGCAGGGCCATCTCTCCTAATTTTAGAAGGCTGCCAGCTAGCCTCAAACAAGCTGGAAGGCAGTGAAGAGAGGATGCCTAAAACTGGAGTGGAATCGCCTGAGCCAAAATTTTTGGCCAGCACTGTAGAGGCTTAATTCTATTCAGGCGGTAATAAATGTGGAATAACCAGAGACTAGTAAATCTATGTTGTACTGTACTTTATACTGCTCTGTGCTCTGTATGTTAATGCTGCACACACTTGTTATCAAGTTCTGATTTCCCCCATGGTATGTCTACAGTGTAGAGATTTTTCGGGGAAAACAGCTGTTTTTCCAAAAAAACTTCACGGACATCCACACTGCAATCGCAGTCTTTCGGGGGGGAAAGAAGATAGAACAGAGGGGCTTTTCTGACATTGGTAACCCTCTTTCTATGAGGAAGAAGCCTTTTTGCGAAAGAGCTCTTTTGGAAAAAGGCATGTGTGGACGCGAGAGAGGGAGTTCTTTTGGAAGACGAAGAAAGAGGAAAAAGCACAGGTGCCCTGGTGGCCACTCCATCCACAGTAATCACAGCTTACATGCAAGATAGCATCCATTCAGTGTGGATGCTATCTTTCGAAAAAGCATCCACTCTTTGGCAGTGTGGATGCTCTCTTTTGGAAGAAGATTTTTTGGATGATCTCTTCCAGAAAAGCTTCTTCTGAAAGAAGCCTGCAGTCTAGACATAGCCCCAGAAGTCGTAAAAAGAAACCTTCCTTCATAAGCTTCGGTGAGGTTAGTGTCACAATTTGAAAAACACTGACTCCTAAATTAATCAAATTTTCTGTTTTCCTAGGACTTTGGTGACTAATACCATGGAATAGGTTACAGTATTTAATATTTAAATAGCAACACACATTCAGAATGAAACATTTATGGCAATAAAAGTGCCTATTGCACAATCTTTTTTCTTGGCACTGTTGCCTAGTGATCTGGGCTTTGTGTATGTACCATTCTTCTGGCACCTTATAAGCAACAACAGTTACATCATGGTCTTGATTATATTCTCTGACAAATTTTGATCATTGGAACTGATTTTCATGTGATACAATATTGCTAATAAAATCATTCAGAAATAGCATCTTCAGGTCTTGGGACAAGTGAACTAAGAAATCAAGAAACATATCCAGCATCACTGCTTAAAGCAAAACAGTTAGATTCTTTCTATCATCTGTTTCCAAGATGCCTAAGCAAGGGATGGTATGTATCTTGGTTATGTATTAATACATGCACACCATCCTTAACGGAAATATACAAAGTTTTTGACTAGGTGGGAGATACTGAGGGCTTTTCAGGAACTGATAAGGCGTATGAAGCACTCAGGTCCAGAGTACTAATGGTGACAAAAAGCAATTGTTAGAAACTGGAAGTCAGTGAATAGCGTGGAATTTGTATAAAGGGCTTGTGGTTTGGGCAAATGGCACTTAACTTGTTTTAATATTTTAAGGGAATATGATCTTATTTCTTACACTGAGTTGCCATACATATGAAAGTCTAACTGAGAGTTTAATTATATATGTTTATGAATTCCAGAATGCATGTCATGGCAGAATGTTAAGTTTTTCTGGTTACTACCGATTTGTGCATAATTACAAACAAAAATAAATCAGACCTGTTATTCATCATGTTGTCAGCTAATCTTTTTCTTCTGTAGAGAATCATATCTGCTCTGATACAGAATATCAGAAAGGTACAATGCTGAACCATTTTGGTTTTTGATTTCCTGAAAGAGACTTTTTTTTAGCCAAGTGTGCAGGTGAGGAGAAAACCTTTGTGCTGCTGTCCTCCCTCTGCGTATGATCGTATGTCCTCATGTGTAGGGGTTAAAGTTAAAACTTCTTAACTGTCAGAGGGATTAAACACTGGAATAAATTGCCTAGGGATGTTATGGAATCTCCATCACTGGAGATATTTAAGAGCAGATTAGACAGTCCTCTGTCAGGGATGATCTAGACAGTGCTTGGTCCTGCGGTGAGGGCAGGAGACTGGACTTGATGATCTCTCAAGGTCCCTTTCAGTTCTGGTGTTCTGTGATTAAGTCAGGGTAGCTTCATTGACTTTAATGGGACTATGCTGATTTATACTCACAAAGGATCCATTCCAAACCAACAATTAAACTCTATTGTTCCCACTACTCTTTAGTTTCACCCTTCTACCTTTGATGTGATCTGTTCCATGCATATCTTCCAGAATAGAGAGACTCTCATTTGTAAGGGCACCACAGGATTATTACGCAGTCAGGGCTTGATATAGCTCTCAGAGAAGAAGATGACAATCAATCAGTGACTTGAGTGGAAGCAGGCCCTAATAAAGATGAATTTGCAGGTGGAAATCACTTCTCATTAGTGGCAATATACTGAGTATTGGGCTTTGCCTTATTTTCTGCTCTGTAACAAAAGGTCAAAGTAAACTCCGGGGCTCACTTATTTGAAAATAAGAAATCATTCCTTCCTGTTCAGCTGCTTATAGGAGCTTGTAGCTGCATGTTGATAGAGGGGAATAGTGCTTCTCCTATTCAGGGCCTGTTAGTTTGCAGGGGGGGGAGATGACAGCCTGATCCTTTAGCTTGTTTTAAGGAGTTGAGAAGTTTACTGATTAGAAAAGAATAAAAACAGCAGCCTTAGCTTGTGCTTTCATTCCTAAAAGCAAAGTCTTGAAGGACATTGCTGATGTCCATCTTAGAAACAAAGGTGGCAAAAAACAAAGTTGGAGAGTAAGGATGTGAAAGGTGAACTGGGTAACCACTCCTGGGGAGACTTTGCTGTAGACTCTGCAGTATAAAGCTTAAATAAAGTATATTTAAGCTTTATACAACAGAGCCCTCAGTGCATGTAAGTGTGTAACCCAGCGGTAGGCAATAATTTTTGACTGGGGGCCACCTCAGAAAATTTTTAAGTGCCTCGGGCCACCCCAGAAGGGGCGGGGCCTCAGGCGGAAGTGGGGAGTAGACATGTCCAGATTTCCCCACTCACAGGCCTGATTGGTCTGTGGGTGAGGGAGTGTGTAAAGTCTTTGCCCTTCCTCCTCCCCCCTCCCCTGAGAGAACCACCAGCTGTTCTGAACAGCTGGCAGTTCCTTCTAGGCCAGCACTAGCACCCCTGGTGGTGGGAGGAGACTTTGTGCATTCCCCTCCCCGCCCCCAGGTCAATCACAGCGTGGGGGCGGGGGGGAGCATGCAAAGTTGGCCCCCACCCTGCAAGGGAGCGCTGCATTAGAGTCATGCGCCAGCAGAACAGCAGCTGGTGGTTGATTCTAAGTGCCAAGCCCCTAGCAAGGCAGAAGGAGACTTCTCATGCTCCCCTTGCTCCCCAAGCCCTGATTGGCCTGGGGACGGGGGAATATTAAGTCTCTCGCTCCCTGTCCTCCAGCCCATGACACTTAGAATCAACTGCCAGGGTTGACGCTCACATTCCCTCATCGCTAGGCCCTGACGAGCCTGGGGACAGGAAAGCAGCAGGACATCCACTTGGTGGGTCGGATCCAGCCAGCTGAGGTCTTTTTACCCACCCCTGGTGTAACCACTAAGATTTTCAGCAGTTACAGTTAACTTTTTAACTGACTTTTTGCATCCCTACTAGAGAGCTAGGCTCAAACTGGAATCTGTCATTTGAACTCTGTTGAATATTGATGGTTTTGGTCAAATGGAATCCACCACATGGCAAGTATTCCATAACTCCTTGCATTTGACATAAGCAGGTCAGAAACTTGCCCTAAATCAAGGCTTTGTCTAAACTGGGATGTTTTGTCCCCACATACTGCTTTTTGGTGACAAACTAGTGAGACGCATACACACTGTAATGTTTTGTTAGGAAAAACATTAAGTTTTGGCATCAAACTCACCCTTCCACCCCTGCATGAGAAACTTTTGACTTTTTCCCCTCCCTTTATTATCAACAATGTGGTCTCTGCTGTTTATTTTGTCAGTATTCCACAATGCTGGCGCTAAGGGCTGTGCTCAGTGTTTTGTGACCTCTGCTGCCCTGCAGGCATGTGTCCCCTCCCCTTTCAAAGCTCCGGGAAGTACCTGGCAGCTGTGTGAGCTGCTCCCCTTGGAGAACAAACAGAAAGAGCAAATCATTGAAATGCTGCCATTCTACCCTGACAGAAACAGCTGCAGATGGAAGGTTGGAGAAACTGCTGTGCTGCTTTGACATTCCTCACAGAGCTACTCATGATGCTGCTCCCAGTAGCTGAGGATGCTGTGGGAAAACTTGGAGTTCTCAAGAATGAAGGGATCAGCTCTGCCTTCCCACAACACTGAACTGTGGGATGCTTACTCACATTGCTTTGCTCTGTCGACGGGGGGAGAGGGCGAGCAATGAGATCATGAAATGTCGACAACAGAAGGCAGACAAACTAGTTTGACCTGTTTTCATTTTTGCATGTCGACAGCACTTTTGTTGCTAAAACTTCCAAGGGCAGATATAGCCCAAGATTCATGGACGTGGTTTGGTGGCACAGGAGGGACATAACCTCCCCAAACTGAAAGCTTCAGGCAGATGCGGGGTTTGCCCCACCCCCAAACACATGCCCCCATTGGCCTGACTAGCACTGCTCCCCCAAATATAGAAGTCAAACTATGTCCATGCATTCACTGTATGTCTTAATAGAAACTAGAGAAATACTTTCCTGGACCAGCACTCGGCACGCTACTATCCAGGACAAACAGAAGGAACAGAACAAGTTAGGGTGGCAGAATAAACTGATCAGCGGTCACCAACCAGTAAATCTGGATCTACAGGTAGATCTTAGAATCTCTGACAGGTGATCCTAACTGGTTTGGTCATGTGGCTATCAAGTGCCAGCACTTCAACTGCTCCTCCTCCACTGCTACATCTCCTCCCCAGCTCCTCCTCTCTGGCCCTTTGCCTTGGAGTTGTTCCTCAGAAGCCTCCTGCTTGCTGTGCAGGGCGGAGGAGGGCAAGGAGGGCACTAATGTCATGGTGCCCCCTTCTCCCTCCTGTATCCTGTCTCCACAGAGCAGAGAGGGGGCACAACAGGACTAGGGATAGAGCAAGTTTGTTAATTGCTTTTGGGAGTGGTGCAGGACCAGGGCCGGGGTGAGTCTGCCTTAGCCCCACTTCACCACCACCCAGGAGCCACCTGAGGTAAGCAGTGCCTAACTGGAGTCCACATACTAAACCCCTCCCCAAGTCATGAACCACCTCCTGTACCTCAAGCCCCTGCCCTAGCCCTGGGCCCCCATGCATGCAAACATCCTCCCAGGGCCTGCACCTAGAACGCCCTCCTGCAACCCAACTGCCTGCCCCAAGCTCAGCTCAGAGCCCCTCATGCTCTACATCCCTTAACCCAAGACCAGAACCTGCATCCCAACCCTCTGCCCAAGCCTGGTGAAAGTGAGTGAAAGTGGGGGAGGGAGGGAGGATGGAGTGAGCAGAGGCGGGGCCTCAGAGAGAGGCAGGGCAAGGAGCACAGAAGAGGCGGGGCAAGGGTGTTTGGGCTTGAGGTAGATCTTGGATTGCACTTATATTCAAAAAGTGATCTCATGCTTAAAAAGGTTGGCGACCACTGGGTAGATTGTAGTGATGTGTAAAGAAACAACAAGTAGTCCTGTGTAACTTGTAAAATCATATCAATAACGGCAGCTGAAATGTTTTGGTGGGGGAAGCACATATTCTGCACAAGGCGAATGTAACATCACCGCTCAAAGCTGCCCCTCAGAGACTGGTGTCCTATAAGCCCCTCCCCTCCATATTAATAAATGACATCGGTCATGTATATTTACATGCTCAAACAAATTAAACCAGAGTATGGTCATACAATTGGCTATGCAACTTGCAGTCATTCTTCATCAAGAAGCCTCTCCCAGCCCATACTAGCTACTCTTCAATCAGCACCTCTGAGCCCTGGGCTGCTTTCTTCCCCCAGGAGAGGACAGAAAACTCTCCTTAGACCATTTCCTATACCACTTCAGGAAGCCAGCAGGCCAACCCACTTTATTAACTTTCACCAAGCAGCAGCTCCTCCTCCATCTCTACACGCACGCGTCCATCCCCCTCCTCTTCCTCTTGGCCTCTCTTATCTAAAACCAGACTAGTCACATGACCTTAATTTTTTCCATCTGGGGAGGAGGGATTGGCTGAAATGCACCTCCCCTTAAAAAGCCAGGAAACTTGTGACAATAAACACATAGAAAAATTCTGCTCCCCCTCCAATGACACTTTCACAAGCACCACCAGAGTTATGGCTCCCCAGAGTTATGTATCCCAAGACCAAGACAATACTATTGCACAAGGAAAGCTGGCCAGCACAAATTCAACTTAACTTCCAGAGAAGCTCTTAGACATTGGGAAATCATGTCTGAGTCCAGGCAGACAGCCAGTGAAGCCTGGAATTTCCCTTCTAAGTTCCTGCATATGTATGGATGTCCTTTCAGGGAATTGCATCTATATTTGAAACAAGTCCTTTTAGGGAAACTGCTCTGACACCGGCATCAAGCAGCTGGGAACCGTCAGCCTGAAATAAACCAGCCCCATAGTGGAGCTGAGTGAATAAAACAGTAGAACACCATTTGAAAATTGTGCCTCTGGTACATATCCCCTGGTGGAGGTAGAACTCAGGAAAATAGGAATGTGAGCAAGACACGAGAAGTCATTCTTCCACTCTACTCTGTGCTGATTACGCCTCAGTTGGAGTATTATGACCAGTTCTGGGCACCACATTACAAGAAAGATGTGGAAAAATTGGAGAAGGTCTAGAGAAGAGCAACGAGAATGATTAAAGGTCTAGAGAACATGACCTATGAGGGAAGACTGAAAGAATTGGTCTTGTTTAGTATGGAAAGAAGACTGAGAGAGGGCGTAATAGCGGTTTTCAGGTAACTAAAAGGTGTTGCAAGGAGGAGGGAGAAAAATTGTTCTCCTAGGCCTCTGAGGATAGGATAAGAAGCAATGGGCTTAAACTGCAGCAAGGGAGGTTTAGGTTGGACATTAGGAAAAACTTCCTGTCAGGGTGGTTAAACACTGGAATAAATTGCCTAGGGGGATTGCAGAATCTCCATCATTGGCGATATTTAAGAGCAGGTTAGACATACACTTGTCAGGGATGATCCGACAATGCTTGGTCCTGCCATGAGGGCAGTTGACTGGACTCGATGACCTCTTGACATCCCTTCCCGTTGTAATATTCTATGATTATCTGAAATGCTGATGACCAGGGATGGACTTGCATTAGGATTAGGGCTGGTTACTAGTCCCTGGCCTCAGATCTGGGGTGGATGATAACCAGTTTCCTCTGTAAGTTGAGAGTTTGGGCAGCCGCCCAGGAGAGGTTTAAATGCTGCCCATCTGGGATTATCCTGGCTCTAAGGGCTGGCAGCATGTGTTTCTACTGGTGGTGCACACCCACACATGCTTTGGTGCACACAACAAAATTTATTCTGCACATGAATGGAAAAATGAGAGGGAACATTGATGGTGAACCGCAACATAGGTTTAGGCTTAAGGCCAGTGGGCGGGCATGGTGGCAGGGATGGAAAGTATTAGTGGCCACAAGTTAGGTTTCTGAGAGGAGCTTGGACTGCAATTCAGATTGGTTTGTAGCAGCAAGTTGGGGCTAAGGTTGGCACAAGCTGGTGGACTCAGGCTGAGGGTTAGGGTTAGGGTTAATGAGGGTTAGGCTAGGGTTAATGTAAGACCCTTAGCTCATAACAGCTCCTAAAAACTTGGCACCAGAGAGGAGGGGGAGGGAGCATGAAGAAGAGAGGAGCTTTCCAAACACTAGGGACAATGGAAAAGAAAGAGAAACAGGCAGGAAACAAGCGGAATGCAAGCCAAACCAAACAGCTGCCGGGAGTGGGGCAGGGCTGCTCGCTTTGGGAACTCCTTGGTAGACGGAAGAGCTGCAGAGGGCGCCACTGGGGGGCTAGGGTTTGGTATCAGGGGCTCTGCTCTCAGCGTGGGCGCGTGGAAAAGGGAGGTGAGGAGGCCAGAGAGCTTGGGGCCAAGTGCGCAGAAAGAGGGTAAAGGGCAGCCAGCTGCTGAGCGCGTCTACCCAGGGGCTGGGATTGATTGTGCGCGCAGAGGGTTGTCGGAGCGCTGGGGCGTGTGTGCTTCTCCAGGGGCTGAATCGTGCTGTAGTGCGGGTAGCCCGGGGCTGGCTCCTACAGTGAGGTGTTGTACGTGTGTCTCGTGCGGCGGGGCGAGGGGTGTGCAGTGTGTGTGCAGCCCGGGGCTGGAATCGATTGTTGGAAAGCGGGTGTGCGCGTGTGTGGTTAGCCAGGGCTTGAATCGCGGAGTGCGTGTAGCCAGGGTCTGAAGGAATCGGGTGTGTAGCCAGAAGCTTGCGGTGGTGGTGTGGTAAGTATCCAAGGAGTGGATCCCGCAGTGGAGTGGTGTGTGTGTGTGTGTGTGTGTGTGGGGAGGGGGAGTGTCGTGAAGCTAGGAGTCTGTGTGTAGCCAGGTGCTGGACCCTTGAACCCTGCAGTGAAGGTGTGTGCGCGCGTGTGTATTGGGCAGTGTGTATAGCCAGGGGCTGGCCCTTGCATTGAAGAGGGTGTGTGTAGCCAGGGACTGGACCCTGCATTGAACG